ATGGAATATGCTATCCTTCTCAGGGGGCTCATTTAAAAAAAAAATTTTGGGTGGCGAAGCCCCACCCTCTAATGCCGGTTTTACATTAATATATCATACTTTTTTTAAATTTGCTAACTCTGAACTTCTGAATTTTATATTTTGTCATTTATTATATTATGCATACAAAATAAACTAGCATATAAATAATTAAAACAATACAAGACATTTCTAAAAATAATATTTTTTAATACAAAATCTATTTATTTTAGTATAAAATATTTTCGATTGCTGATATAAAAATTTGATAATGGTTTTTAAAAACCACATAATAGAATATAATATAATTCTTAGCAACTTACATTGACAAAAGGTCATGAAACTAACATAACTCTCTGTAACCATTTTAGACAATGTTTTATAGAATGGACTAATAAGGAAAAATTTAAAATCAATTCTTGAAGAAGAGAATATAAACAAATCATAAAACTATATGGTGGTTAGAGCTTCCTCTTAGATGACATGATGGAAGCTAGATAAGTAATCGAGAAAATCATTGTGAGATATTAAATTTCTAAAAAATTATCCTCCATTTTTGATCATATATAAACGACTACACCGTTGACCAATATTGCTTATCTAAAATATGCAACCATTCTCAGCAGCTGTAGTAATAATCTTAAATTACATAGCCACACAAATAATAGAGACTGGTTAATTTGCAATCATAGCCATGACATTCATGATGTTAACCCATATCAGAATTTATTATGTTAGATAAATTGGTATAACAAAAACACTAAAAATCTTTAGAAGAATTTATGCAAATATATTGAAGTTTTAAGTTATTTACACGGCAAAGAAATGAAATATTTTGTAACTATAAAATAAGAACCAGAATAATATGATGAAAGCAATTAAGATATTATATATTATTGCCGCACCATCTCTAGTTGGTATATTATATCTTAAAATAATAGTAGTTTGTAATAAAGTCAAAAATATACTCTTATTAAAAATTTAACCCGAAACTGTTTTTCAAATAAGAAAAAAATAGCTTTCCTAAAAACATGTAAAAAAAGAGAAGAAAAGATATCTAATTTATTACATCCATTGTAGGATGCATAGGCGTAGCCAGGGGGAGGGGAAGGCAAAGGGAAATCCCCTCCCCTTCAGAAATTTATCACTTTTTGTGAATATCATTTTAAGCTAATCAAAACATCTTCTTTAGTCCTCTCTCTACCCCCTGTCCCCCAAAAATGTATTCATATACCTTAAACTATTGATTATAATTCATGCTTTTTGGAAAAAAGCAAATTAAATATAAAAAAAGTGAAACCAAAAATGTTTTTTAGGAAATGAAATATAAGCCAAAGATAAGTCTTAAGACAAAAGTGGAATGTGTTATAATTACTATTAATAGATTCATAAAATTACTAAATTATATAATATCTCAAATATAATTTTTTATAAAGTAAGTAACTTTAACTTTTTTTTTCTTTATAAAATAAAATATAATTATAAAATTATTGATAAAATTAAATTATAAATTAAGTAAAAATTAACGCACAATGCAAACAGTGGAATATTATGTGTAGTAGATTTACATTATATCTAATTTTATCTAATCTCTTATGACAATCAAATAATCTTTACCAATAGAGAATTAAATATTTTACAAAAGACTATAGAATATTGATAAGGACATCAGAAAATATCTTTTAAAGAATGTAAATGAAAAAAATAATTCTATATTTCAGTAGCGTTAATATCTAATAAGGTACATCCATTGTGGGATAAATCATAAGATGTTTAGATTTGTAATAATATTTTTAAATAAATAGATGGCGTTAAAGATTTGAATGCAATGCTTATATTTATTATCAAAAGCATTTACTAGTAAAATTTGTTAAAATATTAACTGTAATATATTCTCTAACTGTCAAATATGTCTGTAAAAGTGGCATTTTACCTAATATTTTGTAACCATTCTATATAATAGAGAAATATCAACTATAAGCTCTACTTACTATATATAAAGAAATTTCTTATACTTATTTGGAATAAATATTTACTACGTTTTTGTATTATTATATATATATATATATGCAATTTATTATATTTTATATAAACTAATAAAAATATATTTCCTATTTGTTCCAGGCTTATATTTTGATATAATCTATTAACCAATTGCTTATATTTTAAATAAAGATAATATTTTTTTTATATTAAAATTAACATTATATCTTGCAAAAATATTTTATGAGTATATATATAAGAAAAGAAATTTTTAATTTCCCCCCTTTAAGAAAATCCTGGCTACGGTGGGATGAATAATAAGATGTTTAATTTTTAACAATATTTTTTAAAAAATAGATGACGTTAAGGAATTGAATGCAAATTGTTAGATATATTTATTATCAAAAGCATTAATTAATAAAATTTACTAAAATATTAACTGTATATAACTGTTAAATACGTCTGTAAAAGTAGCATTTTACCTAATATTTTATAACCAATTATATATTATAGAGGATTATAAACTATATGTTTACTTACTTTTTATATAGAAATTTCTTATACTTATTTGGACCTTGAAAATATTTTTAGGAAAAGGCATGGTAATTAAATTCAAAAATTAATAATATAGTTGATTAATGATTTTGAACTCGGCTAATTTGTTAGGTTGGCAGGGAGTAAGGAAGATAAGACAATATTTAATAAATATTTTTTAAAATGTTTAACTACAATATCACTAAAAAACTATAATAATTTTATCCTTTTTATATATAACAAAACTATTAAATAATTAAATGAAACAATTAAGTTAAGTTAAATGAAACTATCAAGTTAAGTTAAATGAAGCTATTAAGTTATTAATATAAATGGTGTTAAATGAATGTAACATATAAATTTGCGCTATATAATAACCATTATAATAAAATATTAATCCATATTCAACATTCCACTCTCTACAGGAACCCCGCCTAGGTTCTCTTTAAATGTAAATCTTTCGTGTTCAAGGAGTTTCCCATCTATTTTGATCATAAAATCTGACAGAGTTTTGTCTTGAAAAATGTGGTATCTTATCATGTCTTGCTCCCTCCAAACGTTTTAGATCAGAGTGTGTATTTTCTTTGATAAAAATCTTATGTATATATGTTTCGATGTCAGTTTCTAATTCTTTGTTTATCTTTAAATTGTCATCTGGTAAATTATGAAGTATCCGTGTTGTTGCAAAAATAATCGATAGTGATGTGTTGTTTGTTTGGTTCTACACATGTTTTGTCCTTTAAACATTATTTAGATTTCATTGTATTTTAAATTTGGAAAATTCGTCCACTTTATCATTAATTATATAAGGTAAATGTTTATTTGTATTATCTATTCTCTTGATTTTTTTATATTTGTAAGTGTCCAGCTTTAATGATTTGGATTCTATTTTTTTTAAATTTTTGTGTATGGGAATTTCATCTATTTCATTTTCATTAATTTTTTCAATACTAAGATTTATATCATTATTTTTGCAGTCATAATACTCTTTTAAAATTTCACCATGTGATCTTATGGGTATATTTATATATTCATCATTTTTATATTTAGATACTAAAATTATTTCAAATGATATTATGTCAACAAAAATTTTCCTTAATTTATAAGTATTAATTATATGTTTATCAATATTTTTATTTATAAGATTTATGTCATTAATTTTATATATCCATTTGAGCCTTTTCAGCAAAGCATCTGGAGATTCAAACTCCTCATCTGTCGACATGGCTCGAATTAAGCTAAAGATATTATCTGGTAAATTAACAGTTAATAGCATAGCCTCACAACTACTGTTGAGCTTACTATCTTTAAAAAAATTATCAGTCTCAGCAATATAAGACTGCATGTTGCCGCTATACTCCGGAAAAGATAATATCATAATGTTTATTTTTATAATAAATATTTTAGAGATTTTATAATTAATTTTAATAATTTTTTTTTTTTTTACTTTTTCAAATTAATTATTTCTTACATGTTTTTAGAATAAATATAACATTCCATAATTTTTTCATCTAGTTGACTAAGTTTCATTAAGTTTGTTAATTTTCAATTAATAAATGATTATACTTATTTAATTAAGGTTATATAATAATTTAAATAATAAAAGTCAATTAAGCATCAACTGTTAATGCTAAATTAATACTTAGTGAGTGATATTCTATTTTTAACAACAGAATTTGATTGCAAACTGACATAGTAAAAATATAATTTATAAGTATTAATCGAATCTATTAATTAAAGTATTCATTTGATAAAAATTTAGATAGTCCTATTAATTTTTTAATAATAAAATCAAATCTATATATTACTTAATAGAATTATAAAAGAAATCGTTCAGGGGGCAATCAAAAAAGTTTATTTTTTGTTCAAAGGAATATTAATATTAAGGAGCTATTAAAAAAAATTTTGCTTCAGGGGGCTATTCAAATTTTTTTGAGGGTTTGAGCCACTGTCACAAAGTAATCTCGATTCTTATTCAATGTATTCACCATGACTATTCCAATTACTATAATAACATGCATCACCATTTGGATATTTGTTAACGAGGACAGCCAACAAATATATAATTTATATTGAAATATATTTTAAGGGTCGTAATTATGTAAAAAAAATAGGAATGAAGAAAAAACATAAATAAAAAATACTAAAGTTTTTAAAACTACTTTGTAGTTTTACATCTGTTTTGTTATATATATTTTAAGGGTCGTAATTATGTAAAAAAAAATAGGAATGAAGAAAAAACATAAATAAAAAATACCATATTTTTTAAAACTACTTTGTTGTTTTACATCTGTTTTGTTATATATTACATAGATTGTTTATTATATCAATCATACCTTACCTTGTATTCCTTAATTTAATAGATTATATAAATTATATATACTCAAATTTGTTAATTCTAATTATTACTCAATTAATTATTTTTCATCTTTTATCTTTTAATATGAATGAGTACAAAACAGATGATTATGTTAAATTATTATAATTATAGTTTTCTTGTGTGAGCATGTGGTGCACATAACATCATAACCTACATTGTATGGGAATTTTATTTTCAAAACTTTGGACATATTTCACTGATAAAGGTATCTTTTTTACGTGCATCTTTTGTTTATTTATATATATTATAGAACATAAAATTATAATCATTGGTTTAGACAATGCCGGAAAAACAACTATTTTATATCAATTGTAATAATTTTTAAATTTTATGATTATTTTGTAAGTCTTATGAATGAGGTAGTTCATACATCTCCCACAATTGGAAGCAATGTTGAAACGATAAAATGGAAAAATATTAATTTTGTTATGTGGGATATTGGAGGACAGGAATCTCTAAGACAATCCTGGAGTACCTACTTTATTAATACAGAAGTATAATAAGATCTATAATTATATAAATACATTAATTTAAAATATGTTGTAAAACAAAATTTTTAATTTTTGTGCTAGTTTATTATATTTGTATTGGATTCCTCTGACAAAGAAAGATTATCACTCTCCAAAGGAGAGTTTCACAAAATATTAACTAATGAAGTTGCCAATTTTTATTTTCTTATTAATTATATTTTATAATTAGGATCTCAAAAAAGCAGCCATACTAATATTTGCCAATAAACAAGATATTAAAAGCTCTCTATCTGTGGCAGATATATCTAAATTTCTAAATTTAACCTCACTAAAAAACCATGCATGGCATATTCAAGCCTGTTGTGCCTTATCTGGTGAAGGGTATACTTTATGTGCTATAACTATTTAAATAATACTTATTTAGCTTGTATCAAGGATTGGAATGGTTATCCAATAAAGTCAAAAATCAAGAGGTATCATGATTAAGATATCAATGAGTTTATTAAAGATTCAATTGCTCATATAATAAAATTAATATAATAAACAAGGCAATATAAATATCATTCAAAAATAACATTTCAAATTTAATACATATATGTGGATGTCAAAGATCATATTGTGACTTAATATTGTATGGATTTTATTTTAGGATGTAATAAATTTGCATAATATTTTAATGTTACTCATGAAAAACATTTAAAAATTAATACTTAAGATTTTTTTTAATAATTAGGTCAAACCATAGTTATTATTAAATATCAATCATAATTATTTTTATGCTATAAGAAATATCATAGTAAATGATAAAACTGTCAAGAATATTATAGAGGTGAATTAATACAGTATATCTAGTTTTATACAATTTAAGCAAATATAACTAATATGATATAATGTAATAAAGATTCTTATTTTTATTTATGGTAGAAGGATTAACAGGAATTAGCTTAAACTCCTCTTCAAGAGCATAGTAAAGTGAATATAGAGAAAAGATAATTTTGGAAGAGGCATATGAAATTGTTGAATGGAAGAGATAAAACTTAGGTAGTTGGATCAAATAATAGAGATAGCAGGCCTTTGTTGTAAGAAGAGATTCTTTGAGTTTATCAGTTTTTTCCCATCCCTCTAGTTCTCTAAAAAATCTTTAAGCTTTGCTACAAAGGAATGAAGAGAGAAAGGAATGGGTATAAAAGTATAAGAAGGATTAATGGAACTATATTAGTTAATTTAGTGAGGGCATCAACATTATGGTTGGATGGAGCAGTTGAATCAATACAAGTTAGGCCCCAAACCAGAAGTTGATCCCTTGACCTTTGGAATTAGAGGTAGGTGCGGGCCTAATTTTTTATTCACGGCCTACCCACTCACTGGCAATAAAAAAAATTCACGCTAACCAATAAAAAAATTTTGACCTGACCCGCCCGCTCATGAAAGGCAATATTTTGATTCACGGTGTTTTTAAATTTTACAAAACTATTGCTATTATTTTGCATTTTTTGAATTTATTTCATTAATTTCATAATCCATAATATTAATAACAAAAAATTAATATATCGAAATTTTTATTGAGAAAAAGAAGAATGTCCATTTTTTTTCAATTGTGTTCACCTTTCCTCTAATAAGAGATTGGCTAGAGAAAATAACCTTTCACTAAAGCCGAACTTGCCAGGGCTGACAAAATATTGCTCGCTAATTTTCTCAAAAAGGAAATGAATGCTTCCAAAACTTCAAAATATTGTCGTTATTTGTCTTATAGCGATGAATCTTTTAAGTTCATCCTCACAGCTTTCATCGTTAGATGTTAATGCTTCATCAGAATTAAAATTATCTAAATTTAGAATATACCGTCTTTTATGAGTGTAGAATGAATTGAGAATGTTATAAATGATTGCTGGCATTGACCATTTAGAATATGCTTTTTTTTATGAGTTTAGGATAAACTAGGAAAGTTATAATAGTTGGCATTGATTTATGCATATCTAATTTAGCATTTTTAAGGTTGTTATATATATATATCATCCATTTCTTTTTCTATTAAAAACTTAAGACTTTTGAAATTCGGATCTAGAATCTGCATAATAAATCTTTCTTTTAAAAGAAATCTTATTCTGTTTTTTTAAGGTTTTGATTATTATTGTAACACTTCAGAAGGTTAACAAATTTTACTAACTTCATTTATTGTCGATAGATAATCTGAGCTCAGATTCAAGCATTCTTTAAATATTGATAAAAAATTTCTAACTCACATATGATTACCAATTGTGGCTAATCTATTTAATTCTTACTTGCTAAGCAACTGCACCTGTATTTCAGAATATGTTTTTATGAAACTCTGTATCATAATATATACAAAGTTCACCTCGTTATATATCTTGTTTAAGGGTGTGGCTTAGCGTGCTATTAGCTGGAGATTGTTTGAAATATTGTACTATTTTATTACACCATTTATATTTAAGGCTATTTCAGTTAAATAATTGTCAAAAATATAATGCATAATATTATTTAGTATATAGCATATACATGTTAGCGTTTTGTCATCTTTGAATTCACTTATAAAATTTTCTCCTTTATCAGTCACATAACTATACATTATTTATATTATTTTCTACTTCTGTGTATTCCTAAAATTGAATTGACTACATTTTTAATATTGACGCTTGTTTTCATTTCCCTTGTGGCAAAAACAAATGTTTTTAATTCAAAATCCTTAATGATAATTGTTTACGTTGTACCCTTTTAAATGACCTTCCTAAAGAATTTAACTGCCCTTTGGAATGACCGTCCTAAAGAATTTACCTATTATGAACTAATTTATATTATTTTTATTTTTTAAACAAACTTAAACCCAACATTTTTATTTTATTTTTCAAACAAGTAATAAAATTATTTTTAAAATTATACAAAAAAAATTATATATTAAATTTTACGGAATACGGAATAAAGCGCATACGCCCTCTCAACGTTGTAGGTACAACAGAGCTACGCTAGGTTTTCCTCATTTCCATCTAATTGGAAGGTTTAAGTTAGGTATAAAGTAAAATATGAGGAGCCCTTCACACGTTTGTGGGCAAGCCGCACGTACTTGTACGCATAATAGTTCATAAACTATTATTTAAACGTCTGTGGGCTGGAACAGATAGGGAGGACCAAGAGAACAGCCCACACCCAAAACCTACGGCCCTATTTATTTTAAAAAAAAGGGACACAAAATTGTTTTTCCAAAAAATATATATAACTGACTCATGATGAGTCTCCTTTTTTCAAAATCAAACAAATCCCCGCAAACAAAAAAATATAAAATAATTTCACAAAAATAACCAATCCTGTATTAAAGTTACAATAATAAATAAATAAAAAAAACCCTATTACAACAATAATATGTTCTGTAATGGTTAAAAACTTCAATTTTGATAGTCGTCCGTCCAAAAATCAGTGATTATGGACAAGTAATTATTATTGATCATGCTTTTATTCTTCATTTTAATTTCATCATATATTTTTGGAGTTATAGTATTCATGAGAGTTTTCCGGCTAACAATTATATCTTTTGTATTTGGTTGTTCATATTTAACATCAACATTTATTAACTCTTGGCCTAGCTTGTGAAATCCTTCACTTTCTGTTGCATTTAAAAATCGAAGTTTACAAATAAAATATATCTGACTTTTCTGTAAAGGTTTAAGCAAAATTTAGCAAAAAGTCTCGCGATAATACACCTAAATATAAATAGAAAATAGAACAGCAATACCGGATGTTGTTTATAAAATGCGGAAGATTTTTTTATTTTCAAAAATTCTTTTTTTTAAAAAGAACTAAATTAAATTAGAAAATATATATTATTATAATTATAAAATTACAAATTTATACTTATAAAAAAACAATTTTAAAAATTAAAATTTCCGTGATTTACGGGAAATTTATGTTCACGCCTGGGAAAAATTTTGGGAAGGCCCGTTATGCCTAATAATTTAAAATTTATTCACACTCACGTCGTGACACGATGGGCCACGTGTAACTTCAAGACCCGCGCCTACCTCTACTTGGAATCAAGTATCTTCCGTCAGTACGTTTCCCATTGGTCAAAATGATGTTGGTTGATTCCCGTCTATAGGGAAAGCCAGCGATTTGAGTGCTCTCAAAGTTATGGAGGCAGTGCCTGCCCTGCAATGTTTTTAAATTTAAAATAGCGCGCTACTATTTTCAGTAGCTTTAAATCGCTACTTTTTAAAAAAAATTGTGTCTCAATTACAGTCAAGTTTGTATAAAATGATTTCTAGTCCTATTATTTTGTCTGACGAAAATATATAATCTCGAGAATTAGGATATAGTACAGATTGTATCATTTTTTTAGCTTTATCTCCCTTGAATTTATATATGATATCTTTATTTCAAATCATGCATTTTAAGAAAGATAAGCAGTAATCACCGTATGTGCGTCATTTTTAAAAATGATTGCTATATGCTATTTATTTTTATAATAGAATTTATATTACAAATTCCATCATAGTTAAATAAAAACAAATTACGTATAATACATAATTGTTTGATAAAATATATAAAAAAAATAAATTAAAGACTAAGAGATAAGATGATAAAAATATAAAAAATATTATGTAATTTTTAAATTACATTAATTAATATTTATAAAATAAAACCTATATGAACCGAACCCATTTAAATCGCTATATAGTCTTAAAAAAGGTTCAGTTAGATCATGTAAATTTTTTTGCAAAATGGTTTGGTTTAGGTTTAGATTAAAAAATATCAAATTACCTAGGTCTATTTTCGAGATTCGGTTCAACACTTGAATTATGATTTAAAAAATACAGATTAAGAATCTCTTCTTCCAGAGTTGATGGAAATTTCGAATAATTTTAATAAACTAGAAAATTTGAAAATGGAAGAAGAAATAAAGGGGTGAAGAATTTATAGAAAAATTTATTAAGGAAAAACCTAGGAGATATTTTTAAATTCAAGCAAAGAAGATCAAGCATTAGAGAAGAAGTGATTTATGGATTCTAAACTGTCAACTGGGGAACCGAGATAGTTGGGTTGTATGAAAGTTATGGTTAAATGGGATAGAAAAGCATATTAACCTTATTTTTCTGCTCGTTGAGTGAAAGTCCTACTATTTCGGGTTGGAGATTTATGTTGGATAGTGTTTTTGGCACCTCATTTGGGAAGCTGCAAATTATTTGCCTTGAATATTTTTTGATTTTTAAAATTCCATAATAAGCATGCAACAATTATATAAATCAAAAATTGGTAAAAATTATTAAGTCTGCCTTATCTGTTCTTGCAGTTGAAACAACCGATATTTTAAACCAACAACAAAGTCTTTGGTCATAAGATTATTATACCTGGATACAATAAAAACAAATAAATTATTTCAACAATTTACCACTCAATATTAGGGGTATAGCGAATCAAATCATACTTTAAAAAATACCTGGCCAAGAGCATGATGATGCAGGTGTTTAAACCTATATTGAATAAATGTGCCCAAGAGCATTCTCTAAATTTGGTTATTTCAAAAGCTTGTGGGATTTACAAAATTGATAACATAAATAATTGTATACACAATTTATATATTATCTTTATTTATAGAAATAGTACAAAAATAATTGAAAATTTAAAGTTTAGGATCAT